ACTTAAAGTCGAGGGCTGGTTTTCTTCAGGGCCTAATAGTGTGACGTGCTTTATACACAAAGATCAAGATTTGTGTTGCTTCAGCAACAAGTTTTAATTCATAACATGGGGCTAAGCTATAAATCAGCCCTGAATTTTTTAAACAAATCAAAGTTATGGCAATGCATTGTGAGGGGGAATGAGAGCCACCTCCGCGCCGGCAGCGCTCCATTTTCGCAGCGCCGCAGCGAGCGTCCCGGCCTGAACTACAACCACGATGGCTTCGTCAACGCCAGAAACCTCCCTAACTGACATGGAAACTACCACGGCAGAAGATTCCACCAATACCCGTAGCGACGGCTGGTTCACAGCCTACTACCGCGGGCACAAGTTGAGAGCGATTCCAACCGCTGAAGTGGATCTCACCACCGGCAATCCCCTACAGCCCAGCCCACTGATACCCCGTCCACAGAAAAAACCTCAGCGCCTACCCCCGCTGCCGAGGGGAGAATTCAAAGTCGTCATGCGCCCGTGAGACGGCCTCAACCTCTCCAATTGGAAACCGTACCAGGTTGCCCAACACATCAGCACGGAGGCTAAGATCACCATCGAGGAACTACACGCTGCAACCAAACTCCAACTCAATCACGACCGCAACATCGTGATAGTAAGCACGGCCCACATAGAGGTCGTTCAAGCCATCACCCAGATCCACCACCTACGACTTGGCGGGAAGGACTACCCAACATACACGTACGTGGCCTCCCCGGACAACTCCATCAAAGGGGTAGTCCACGACATCGAACCGGGGTCCAGCCCCGAAAAACTCCTCCATCACCTAGAGGCCCCAGGATACAGGATCCTGCATGCCCGTCTACTGGGCAACACTGGCACGGCCCTCGTCACGTTTGAGGGACGCAAAATCCCCCCGTACGTCCAGTACCAGAGCGCGCTTCAGCGCTGCTTCCCCTACCGGCCCATCAGACAGGTTTGCACTAAATGTCTGGTGGCGGGGCATCGGGCCGACGTCTGCCCCACGCCGCACATAAAAATATGCCTCAAGTGTGCTGTACCCAACCCCCCAACCGACCATGTGTGCGCCCCGAAGTGCACCCAGTGCCACGGCGACCATCCCACCAATGATACAAGCTGTCCGCAGCGGTTTGCCAAACCCCGAGCAACTCAGCGCGTCAGCCGCCCAAGTAGGAGGGGAGGACACGGCAACACAGGCCGTGACCGCAGCAACAGCAGGCGACAACAGAACCAGACCCGCTCCCAATCCCGCCCGGCCTCTCGCACAAATTCCCGTCCTGGCCAGCAACCTCGGGGAAACCTGCCCGGGCCCAAACAGACACCGGCGGGAGCATCCGCCAAGCAGGAAGCCACCAGTGGCCAGGCTCTTCAATCGGACGACACCCGAACGGAGCCCTACACCGACACGCAGCAGGTGAGCTGGGCGACGCGGCTCACCGGGTCTCAGACCTTGCCCCCAACCACCAACCCATTACCCCCCCTTCCCGCGGCACTCACAACAATCCCCCTAACTGATGCGCGGCAAGAGAGGGTAGAAAATCTCCTCCATGGAGCGCCTCACTCGCATGGAGGAGCGCATTACTGCGCAGGAGCGGCGAGACACTGATCCTGCTGCCCCCGTTACTATGAGTATCCCTTCCGCAGAAACAATCTGCCACACCCTTAAAGAGGTTACAGATAACATCCGCGCCCACAACCAAAAATTCGACCAAATCCAGGCCGACATTCATGACTTAAAAGAAGCCAACCGGGATTTCTACACCACCCGCAAAAATAGGCGGATAGAAACACGCTGCCAACCATACCCCCCACTATCCCTGCCTCACGATGACGGCACGACGCCCACCGAGTTGTAACCCAACTCGGGTGTGGCAATGGAACTGTCGAGGGTACCGCAGGAAACGCGCTGCTCTTGCGCAGCACATTGCCCATCAGAAATTCCCTCCAGAAGTACTTGCCCTGCAGGAAACTGGTATCATCCCCACCCTAGCAGGCTACCAAGCCTTTACTCCCCAGACCATCCGCAGGTGGCCACGCTAATTGCTAACCACATCACGGCTAAGCAACACACCATTGCAGGGACCTCAATTGGACACGTTCTAGTTGAACTCCTCCCCACGCGCAGGCATTCCCCGTCTTTTCGTACTTAATATATACAGCCCTCCCAGTCACCAGCAATTCGTGTCGATCTAGGGAAAGCTATGAAACAACCCGCCAGCAACCCCGAAAGTGCTTGAAAAGTTGCCCCGTCTGAAGCGGGCTGAATGGGTAGTATCCGTACAGTTGTCAGCCTAAATAAATATTAAGAATAAGTTTTGCATGCTCTGAAGTGGTAAGTTAGCGCGAAGATGTGACTCTGTAATGCCCTACTTGGTCGCACTGTTCAGTGCTTGGTGCTCTGATCAGTGCTGATCAGTACACTTATCACCAGTAGACAATGCTTGGTCGCTGCAGCATGAGTGAGGCCACCGAAAGCTTTGTATTTGCCATCTTGTGCCCACAGGAAGTCAGCCTTTTGAGCATTAGGCTAGATGACATCCGTGCTGGAAAACACATTCTTGTTTGCCATCATTCGACAAAAAATTTTCTAAAACCCTGTGGTTACTATGTTATCTTCAAGAGCATGTGGACAGTTTTACGAAAGTGCAGCATTGCAGGAAAAAGGCAGAACTCGTCAAATGCAAGTCTCATGACATGATCAGAGGACATGCCTTGGCACGCCGAAATGCTGCGGACATGCCTTCGCACGCTTGGACACTGCACACTTGGACAATGCAGAGGACATGCCTTCGCACGCTTGGACACTGATAAAAAGTAGACGTCGTGTGTATGTGTTAACCATTCGGGAAGGTTTTGAAGGTGTGTCGCTTTTTACATGTCTTTGCCGCATACATATCACTCGCAGATCTCTGGATAGTCCAGCAGTTCTGTTTGGTTGCACTATGAGTGGTTGCTATCATGCGCTATCGGCAGTGTTTAAAATGTACTCGTATGGATCCGAATTACCTGAAAACAGAGCAGCACAGTTATGTATGGGTTACAAATCACATTGACGCTTTTGAGCTATGCTATCAGGGGTGTCGGAAGTGGGAGATGGGGGAATCGAGAAAGATAAATTTCTATTCCCTTCCACAGATTTGGTTGCTAGAAATGTCCCGGAGGCAAAGAACGATCTCCTCCGCCGCTGTGTTCTGTCGGCACAAAATCAACTAATTGCTGGCCCACGAGTGCTGCAAGTTACAAATACAGTCTTCAGAGTAAAGTAAAACGCTGCTTCAGAGGCACATAAATCTTCATACACGACAGACCTTCATCATCATCTACACGATTTCAATGCTTGTTCAGTATACCCAAGTGTGCAAGAGTGGAGATGCAGCACTTCAGCATTCCAAGGCATGTTCTTTGATCCCGCTGCAAGACATGCATTCAATGAGTTGTGACTTTTTTATGCCGTGCTATGTTTTCATAAAGATTTCTATGTGTTCTCAAAAACACCTATAACCAAGTACACAAGGAAAAAAAAAAAAATTCAGTGAATGATTGCTATTCAGCCGAAAACGTGTCTTTTAGCACACTGCCGCCCAGCCTCTTAAAGGGATACTACAACGAAATTTCGGCGCTTATTTCTTGGTCTATTCGTGTTCAAGGGAGCAGTATCACATCAGACGCACCAATCTCTTGTTGAAAAAGACACAAAAGGAATTTGAAAACGAGTTAAACGATTAGCAAAGAGCACCCGGTGGCTGCTGCTAACGCCTCCCCGAGAATATATTTTGTGTGTCCCAAAATGCCGCTATTGTTCCTCTACAAGATTATAGAAGATTAACCCGTCGCTCAAAATTCATATAAAAGCAGCCGCCTCCGTGGCTGGAACGTCTAGGACATCTTCTCGATGTCAGCCTTGACGCAGCTTTGCTCATCTCGAGACAAACTACATCACGATTGCGGCGGAGGCCATGCGCTCTCCGCTGGCTGCTCTCCGAGCACTTGCCAGAGTGGGCCGTTTATAACGAAAAACACAGCCATCAGGCTCAAAATACAGACGTTTTATTGTCATTTACGGATATTGTGGATCATATTCAGCCTATTTGTGAACACGACGGGTATATTTCAAATTTCGTTGAAGTATCCCTTTAAAACGCTTTAACTGGTCAACATCCCGTTGGTACATGATGGCTGTCTGGTGGCTGCATTCGCGGAGTGGAGAGCGTGATCTAACAATTGTCATAGAGATCAGTGAATTAATGCATTTTTTTTTTAATATCAAATAGCAAACTTAATTTAATCGTAAGTTACAACAAAAATATGAAACTCTTCTCTTTTTTTGGGTCAGTATGCACACCTTTTTGTGTGAATTTAGGAAAAAAACAAAAACATTTGTGACATTTCATTTAACAGGCATAGGTAAAAAATGAAATCTGATTTTTCTCTCATTTTTTTTCCCCAATAAAATGCTCTGATTGCCGTCCCTCAGGAACTCTATCTCATTCTTAGTCGCTTTGTTAAACCCAAGGTACATTGTGCAGTATTTAAAAATAAATAGTGCGGCACACCACGAACTCGGTGTGCCACTTACACGGGCTTGCACTTGAGCCCGTGCATTGCGAGCTCTTGCCCGTGATCATAGGTCAGTTATGCTCAAACCTTTGACGGAGTCGGACGTCTTTCATTATTGGCGGGTCTGCTGGGCCGCAGAAACTGTCCATCTTCAGTTCCACGCGAGTGAGCCCTCATCAACTTATTCCGTGTCCTCTTAGGCCCATCCTCCCTTTCTCAGCAGCACGGCCCTAATCTTGAATTATTACCCACTGCTAATCAGCTGTGGCTTTGCCTTGCAGTAACGAAAATGTTATATTCATTACAGAAAGGAAAACCGCCCTTTTTGTGCGGTTGAGTTTGTCGGGGATGACAGCGTGGCCGCTGTTCCGACGGCCTGGCTCAGTGCTGACAGGACGATGTGTTCCTGGCCAAAAAACGTGCCACCGGCATCAGTGATAAAACTGGCCCAGTCTCAGGCCCCACCTGGGAATGAAGAGGAGTGGCCCCTCCACCCTGTGCGGGTGTTCTCCTATTGCAGTAAGTGGTGTTTGTATGATATCCTCGTGGCTTCAAGTTGTGAAATCTTTGCACATACCTAGGGGCATTAGTCATTGATATGATCATGTAGTATATCTAAAGGTAAACAATGTTTAGATTTGAACTGAGAGTGTAGTTTGCATATACAGGGATGCCTCGGTAATATGGACACCTCCGTTCCTTCCCAAGATTGTCCATAATGTAAGCTGGCCACATTAATAAGACAAAGGTTTATCTAGCATTTACCCAATTCGATCCCGAAAACTTTGTCTACATATATACACAAATTCAGCTCTGTTATGTCATGGTGCGGTGGTGGTGCGTCAGGCACACTTCCGGTCTGGGGCTGTGGGTGGAAGTCACCATGCGGGGCGTGCATGCCTGTGTTGTTTTAGAAGAAACCAGGCAAAAACTTGCCTTCTCGTCAAAATGCAGCAACTGAGGCTGTACCAAAACAGTTGCGAAAGGTTTGAAGATCAGTATTCATGAGTTTTCTGCCTGCTTGGTTCATCCAAAAACATGGACAGGGCTAGTGAAAAGGAAAACCAGATGGCATTGGACCACGATTGCTTGTACAGAAAGCACTTTGAGTTGAATTCGCGGATACTTAAGGCCATCGAATTCATTTGTTTTGTTCCAACATGAATGTGAAAAAAACGGCCAAGTTGTTTGGACCACCCGCGGACTATGTTTAGTGTGTCTTCAAGTTCGGACGGCTGCCTGATCGTTCAAACCGTTGTCTGCTCTTCCAAACGTTCCTGCTCGTTCAAACGACAGCGGCCCGTAGCGAAAACATTGACCTGGTAATTGCAATATGGAGTAAGCGCAGGCCTTCAAAAGACCTTTAATTTTGAAGGTTGGTCAAGGTAAGCAGGCTCAGTGTAAACAGTAGATACAAGATGTTGATAATTGTTACTAGTTGCCATCACCGACTTGTTATGTCTCATTCACTTGGACTGATTCTGCTTGCAATTTTTCGTATCAACGTCAACCATCTCCGCTACAGTTCATGCTTTTGCAGCTGGAGCGACATAATGACTGAAAATAGCAAGCAGAATCTCATCCTGCGAATCAGGCTTTAGCGTCCATTCTGCGGCGTCTACGCGGAATGAATCGCCACATGCAGTGAAACAAGCCTAGTTAATTTTGCTTAGGCTGCTAAAGTAGTCTGACTCTGCCAGGAGGACATAGAAGCAAAAATTGCAACATAGAAAAGAGCATGGGGACACACATCGACGCCAAAAACGTAGCATTCCAATGGTTTGTTGACAGACGACGGCAAGCTTGTATTGATCATATCATGTCGTATTGCACCTGAGACTGCGGTGGAAGAAATCGGAAGAACTTTCAGTAGAAGGAACAGACACAGAGAACGTCTCAATCAGAGAGAACGTCTCAAACAGACACAGAGAACGTTCCTTCTACTGAAAGTTCTTCCGATTTCTTCCACCGCAGTCTCAGGTGCAATACGACATGATTAGCTACCACCAGCTCGCGTGCTCTCTCACCGTCTTTTCACTAACTGATCATATGACTGCTTTGAGTAATTTTCACTAATTGATCATATGACTGCTGATTCCAGTCTACGTCCGGCAGTAAGACCAGGGACTACGTCCCTGGTCTTACTGCCGGACGTAGACTGGAATCCTCGTCCAGCACCAGAGCCTTCACAGCCCGACAAACCCGCAGACACAATCAAAGATGACGTCTCAGACAGGTCAGACAACCAGAGAGCCATTCGGGAGTGACCAAGAATCCCCCATTTATTGGTGCAACCATAAATATAGACAGATGAAACAAATCATATGACTTGTGATAACAGAAAGGAAAGAGTAGCTCGGAGCATTATCACAATGACATGAAAGATGCAGCACTTGATCTGTTTCAGTGCTCGATCTCACTGTGATGACTGCGAAATGCTAGTGCAGGTGCTTTGATTATTTTAGATGGTGTTGAGCTAGCCCATCGAACCTGAAAGCAGCATCAGAAACTTGACTGGTAATGAAATGCGAGCTCTCTGGGAGTATGATTGCAATTGAAATTTCATAGTCAAAAATATGTATCATGTGGCGATAGAGCAGAGCTTTTACGTGCACGTTTTCCCTCACAGTTGCCATAGCACTGTCAGCAGCCAGTGTAGGAAACGAGCGTGAGCCTGGAGTATCTCTGTTCTTCAAAAAGCCGTAGTCTTGCACTGCACACGCATGAAAGGGAGCGTAGCACTTGCTAGGTTGCCATGTCTGTATTGAGTGACACACGTTTACATGTTCCGGCTTATAGGTCTTATGAAAACCCGTTAACACACAGATGCATTTGACTAGGACCGACTGAGACAAGACTGATTTTTTAAGCTTCTTGCGAAGGCCTATGACCGGCAGTCCAGCAATGGCAGCCGGTCGTAGGCAGTCGCAAGAGGCTAAAAGCTGATCGTGTCTCATTCATTCGTAGTCAAATGCAAGTGCGTGAATGGGGCTTTACATACAATGGACAGATTTGAAGCTCGCAAGCAGCAGCTAAAGTTGCTTCGGCTGCTCCTAGTGCACGCCATTTCAAAGTTGCACTCGCCCTACAAATGAAAGTGTCACCTTATGCGGCGAAAACCTGAGTGAGAGGAGAAGACGAGGTTGGATGGGGATGTCAAAACGCTGAACTCTGGTTGGAATGATTGATGCGTAGGTCTAAAGCTAGCTATCTTTGTCTCAACTGCACTCGTCGAACACATCAGAATGGGAATACCAGCGTCTGGCATTGGGCTTTCAAATTCAAACACGTTTGATGAGTGCAGTGGAGATAAAAACAGCTAGCTTTATTTCTACCACTAATCATTCCAACCAGAGTTCAGTGTTCCGACGTCCCTGTGAGCTCTCGTCTTATTCTCTCAGTCATTTTCTCAACACATAAACCCCAATACACTACTAAGTGCTTCAGTCATGGGTGTTTATTCTCTCGGCATTGCTGCTTTTTGAGCCAAAGTTAATTTTGCTCTGTGTAGATGTTTGTGGAATCGCGACAACTGATTGTGCAGCTGCAGATGTTTTGCATTTCTTCTGACCATGACTGCATATGGGGCCTTTGCATTAAATTTCAGAATGATGCAAGCAACAGTGCGCTTCTCATGCTAGCAGCAGACACCACACTGTGCTGTACATAAAAAAAAAGTATTTGAAGCCTTTACAAATGCTGATCTTGAAAGAGTGCTGCTATCAGGCATTGCCCCCAAATGCCGGTTTCCCGGCAGAACACTACAATAATATATCCTTTTGGTATTGTAAGCTGTGAAAGGAACCATATCTAGAAAATTGTAAATTGGTTTTAGTGATTTTTTGCTCTGTTATGGGTTGGCATTGCAGTATTGTAAACCAGGTTTTGCACGAGCTAAATAATTAGTGGGTCTGTATCAATTTGCTTTCTCTTAAAGAAACATACAAGAAGGCCAAAAGGAAGGCCACCGAGGGGCTGGAGAACTCGTGCTTGGAAAGCACAGATGTCGGGGAGCCCGATGATGGAGGTATGTTGATCATAGCAATTTAACATTTTCAGCAGAAGAAATGGTTCTTTGTTTAACCTAATTTTATTCTGATAATATGTCTGTTCTAGCCACTGGGAGAGACAACACGGCCGACGCTCCTGTGCGTCTCTCAGTGCCCATTCCACGTGAGTTAGCCTACAGTAAAGAAAAATATATTTCATCTTTTTTTTACCTTGCGAGAGACACTGACAATGTATTTACACTTGACATTGATTTTGCAGCTACTGGCCTGGGAGGTGCCTGTGCAAGGGGTAAGTGTCCTTGCTTTATTTCCACATGTTTTACACATGAGAATCTACACGTTATTCATGAAGGTTCAAACCTATCTAGAACTGTAAAAAGTGATTCCTCCATTTGACTTTAGAAAACAGTTAATTTGAATTGGGATTTTAAGATTTTGTTATTTGAAAGATGCTCGTGGATACAAAATTCCTCTTTTATGTGAATATAAGCAAACAATATATTATGAAATTAAAGAGAGTTTGTTTTAAAATCACGCCTAAACCTTTCTGATGTTCCATTTTGGCAGTATGGCAGCAAGAAAAAAAGGGGGGGGGGGGGGGGGGGTTCATGCCTTTTGCATTGCATTGCATTCTAAACGAGTAGATAAAAGTTGTCTAAGATTTTAGAAAGAAAAGGGGCACTCTGGCCAAGCCATAATTGCCCATGTGGAAAGTAAATTGTGATACTTTTCTCCAGCCCCTCCCAAGCGCAGGGCCCCAGACCCTCCATCCAGTAAGGGGTGGTCCAAAGAAAATCGGGCTCCTACATCTCGTAAGTTTCACAGTCGGCTCTTTCCAATGATTCACAGATAATCTAGACTGACATAGGAAAGTTGTATATTTAACCCGCTTGTTTGTATTTCTAGAGATATCACATACAAGGTTATCAGCTATTTTTTAAATGTTCAACAAACTGTGGCTAGCATTAATCTGCTTCGCTCACTGATCTCTACGATAATTGCTGGATTGCGCTTCCCCGCTATTCGAATGCGGCCACCGGTTGGCCATCGTGCCACAGGTAATCAACCTTTTGGAGCGCAGCGAGGCTGGGCGGTAGCGTGCTGAAGATATGTTTCTGCTCGTTCGTTATCATTTGCCGGAGAATTTTTTTAAAACCTGGTGTAACCGTTGACAATTACCTTTAAGAACGCGTGGAAAGTTTTACGAAAGTACAGCACTGCAGGAAAAAGGCACAACTCGCCAAGTGCAAGTCTTGTCGGTGTCGCAACGTGATCAAAGCTTCCTTGGCACGCCGAAGTGCTGCATCTCTGTGCCTTCGCATCCTTGGATACCGGTCAAGCTAACAGCTTGGTGCTACTCAAAGATCAGACTTCACCGCCAGGCAAGGCGGTTTATAGAGCACAGCGCAGGCCTAATCATAAGATCCAGTAACATTCATACTGTAATTTTCATGGGTCAGTAAGAGTCTAACCCGGAAAATTTTTTTATGTGCTTCATTATATAACAAGCATAAAGTGTTGCGTTCATTGGAACTGCTGAATGCCTCAAATAGCACACTTTATTTTGTTTATAAAAATAATTGCATATATACTTACTGCAAACTGCTCTATCGTAACCTCATGCGATTACTCATGAATTCCACCACCTCGGTAAGTCACCCAAATCATGCGCATGGTGGGACGCATCACAAACCGCAAACACGGGCTCAAGGAGACCGACGTGGTCCAGCTCACCCAGGCTCTCATCACGAGCCGCATCACCTATTCCATCCCATACCTCAACTTAAACCAGGGTGAGAAGAACAGAATAAATATCCTTATCCGCAAAGCCTTCAAGATTGCTCTGGGCCTGCCACTTTACGCCGCCACAGATAAGCTCCTAGCCATGGGCGTACATAACACCCTTCAAGAGCTCATACAAGCACACCTAGCCAGCCAGCCAGCAAGAACGGCTGGCCCTCACCCCCACCGGCCGCACAGTCCTCCATGACTTACACTTCCCGATACCCAGCTCGGTGTGGAACACGGTTCGCCTACCAACGGCCATACGAGACCACATTCAAGTGGCCCCGATCCCCAAGAACATGCATCCCATCCTTCACTCCGGCCGCCGCATTGCCCGAGCTCGGGCCCTCCAACACAAATATAGCAGCAAGGCAGACACCCGTTTTACTGACGCTGCCATGTACTCGGATCAACCAGCGGCCGCAGTCAGCGTGATAGACCACGATCTAAAGACGGTAGTTACGGCCTCCATCCGCACTATCAATCCAGTGGAGGCAGAAGAAACGGCCATCGCCCTGGCAATCGCCTCCGGCAAGGAATACCTCAATATCCTCTCCGATTCCCAAACCGCCCTGCGACGATTCCGAGCGGGCAGGATCTCACCATGCGCTCTGCGCATCTTAACAGACCTCAAAACCCCGCTTCCAGAAACGACGCTCATCTGGACTCCTGGCCATGAATCTGTAGATGGAAATCGGCAAGCCCATGCCTTAGCCCGAGCCTGTACACACCGGGTGCCACAAACAGAGGACCACAACACAATTCTCAAATTTATTCCCGTACCCAACCAATACTCTGAAATCCTAATTCATCAACGAGGCGAGAGATTTAGATACCCCCCTCCACATCGGAGCCTAACGCGGGAAGATTGATTGATTGATTGATTGATTGATTACGGGCTTTATGGCGCAAAGCTACTATGGCCATACTGCGCCAAGCTTGTTTAGTTGGGACATACTCAGGTCTTTTTTATATGAATTATCGAAAAGAGGTTTATATGACAAGGTTAAACTTCATAGAGTTAAAATTACAACTCTAGTAGGAAGCCGGTTTTTCTTAAGTAATTTATGATACGATCAAATGGTACTATAGGAGTCTCGCCAATTAGTAGCGCTGGGTGAAAAGGAATCTGGTGGGAAAAAAACTCGGGGAAATGTGTACGTCGTTCTTGCTTAAGCCCTGGGCACAGCCACAAAATGTGTAAAATTGTCAAACGCTCCCCACATTCATCACACAGGGGTGGGGCTTCCCCCCTGAGCAGATGTTTGTGGGTGAGGAAGGAATGTCCAATTCTAAGACGACACAAAAGAACTTCAAGGCGGCGGGTTTTGTGGGATGCACTCTCCCATATACCAAGAGCTGGTTTAATCCTGTGAAGTTTGTTTTCGCATTCCAGACTCCACTCCGATTGCCATAGCCAGAAAACTGATGATTTCACCAAGGGTTTCATGTCTTGAAATGGAATCTGTGAGGTGGTTGGCAGTAGGTGCTTAGAGCTCGTGGCCAATTCGTCTGCTCTTTCATTACCTAGGATCCCCACATGGCTAGGCACCCAGCAGAATTTTATGTCTCGGCCAAGCTGCAGACCACATTGTACCTTAGATCGGACAAGTTGTGCCAGTCTATTTTTACTTCCCTTTATTGAGCAAAGTGTGGTGAGCACACTTTGAGAGTCCACGAATAAAATAGATTTCATCGTCTTGCTGATGAGGATATATTCCAAGGCCATCAACACTGCATAGAGCTCTGCCGTGTAAATACTTGCACATTCCTTGAGACGCTGAACCTTACTGAATCCTTCAGAGTAAACTGCTGATCCTACAAAATGCGATGATTTAGCACCATCGGTATAAAATTGGGAGTAGTTATCATACTTCTTCTGCACCTCAAGGAATTCTTGTTGAATCACCACAGGGGGGACGTTATGTTTATTAAATCTAGTAAAATACCAATCACAAAAGACGGGCAACGTACTCCACGGAGCTTCATTTTCACCCTTCTGCAAAAGGTCAGTCTCGTCAAGGGTGACGTCAAGAGATGTACAAATGCCCTCAAGGCGAAGACTTAAAGGCGGTACAACCCTGGGCTTATGTTCGAAAAGACGAGCAAACCGAGAATGTTGCAAGGCACCATAAGTTGGGTGATTTGGATAGGACAAAATTCTGGAAGCATAAGTCACAGCAAGATAACGTCGTCTGTGCCTAAGTGACATCTGATTAGATTCAGCGTACAAGCTAGGAATGGGCGATGTGCGGAAGGCGCCTGTAGCGAGCCTTAAACCGAGATGATGCACAGGATCCAACATTTTAAGTGCAGAAGGCCTCCCTGAGTCGTAAACTATAGCACCATAGTCTAGACGTGACCGGATAAGGGAGTTGTACAGGCGTAGCAGACATATTCTGTCGGATCCCCATGACTTGTGCGCTAAGACTTTAAGAATATTAGCTGATTTAAGGCACTTCTTCAGGTTCTTCAGGTGGGAAACGAAGTTTAACTTTTTATCAAACGTTATGCCCAAAAATTTATGCTCCGTTTTTACACTAATAGGAACCCTGTTTAGTGTCAGTTCTGGATCTAGAAACAGCCCCCGACGCAGAGAAAATGGCACGCAGATAGTCTTCCCAGCTGAAAACTTAAACCCATTTTCGTCAGCCCACTTGCTAATTCTGTTGATGGTAAGCTGCAGTTGCCGCTCACAGCTAGACAAATTACAAGAAGAGGCCGAGATGTGAATATCATCCACGTAGAGGGAGTATGAAACGGAAGGTGGAATTACCTTTGACAACGAGTTTATCTTTACGGCAAACAAGGAGACACTCAGTACACCTCCTTGCGGAACACCATTTTCCTGGACATACTGGTCGGATAGTGTGGTGCCGAGTCGAACTTGAAAGGAGCGACCTGTCAGAAAACTGCTTATACACCGCAACATGCGACCACGCACCCCAGAGGCATATAAATCATGAAGGATACCATACCGCCATGTCGTATCATATGCTTTCTCCAGGTCGAAGAAAACAGAGACACAATGTTGCCTTTTTATGAAAGCTTCACGTATTGTTGTTTCCAGGCGGACTATGTGGTCCAAAGTAGAGCGCCCTTCTCGAAAACCACATTGGTTATTAGCAAAGAAGTGGTTATGCTCCAAAATATAAATTAACCGCCTATTAATGAGGCGTTCAAAGGTTTTGCCAAGGCAACTCGTTAACGCGATTGGACGATAACTACGGGGGTCCGAAGGGTCCTTCCCAGCTTTCAGCAAAGGAATTACATGCGCCTGTTTCCACATTTGAGGAAAGTAGCCTGCTTCCCACAGATAGTTAAAAAAATCTAGTAGTGTGTTGAGCGATTCTCGAGACAGTTGACGGAGCATTTCATAGTGGATTCCATCAGGGCCCGGAGCCGACCTCTTCTTGGAGCCCAGAGCCACCTCTAGTTCTTGCATTGTAAAAGGAGTGTTGTATGGCTCAGAGCTACAACCGGACATGGGTATACGGTGACATTCTGCATTTGCTTTAAAACGTTTAAATTCCGTCCGATAATTTCGGGAGCTGGAAACATTCTCGAAGTGCTGTCCAAGCACATTAGCAACATCTTTCAGCGAGTTAGCAGGGGAGCTAAATAGAGGAACAACAAAGCAACGGTAATCCCCTTTGATTTTTTTGTACCTATCCCAAACTTCCTTCTCTGAGACAAAACTATTTAGGGAGGAAATATACCTGGTCCAGGACTTCCACTTAGCTTTTCTCATAGTCCATCGGGCCTTTGCTTTTAGTCTTTTAAATTCTATCTTATTTGAAGGAGTAGGGTACCTCCGAAAGGTGTCCCATGCCCTATGCTGCTTTTTCCTTGCGGTGGCACAGTCTTCATTCCACCAAGGCCTACACCTCTTGGGTAAATTTTCGGAGGTGCGAGGAATGGCGTCTTGGGCGGCACTTATGATTTGCTCCGTAACATACACTGTCGCTTCTTCAGGTGACAAATTTGCTAGAACTGACGGGTCAAGCACTGCATCAAGTTTAAAGAG